TGTTGAAGGGCTCTCCTCTGTTTGAGAACAGAAGCTGCCACTTGTCTCTTTACCCCTCTTTTAGGCCTTTTCTTGCATGATAGTTTGGCCTTATTTGTGATTATTTTCGTGGCTTGATGTAAACTGTAAAGTGCCTTCTTTTTAGCCCTTCTTCAACTTTGTTGAAGGGCTCTTTGCCATTTAGGGTCGGCTGCTGTCCTTTTGTGTTTAATCTCTCTTTTAGGGCCATTTTTGCATGATAGATTAGCCCTATTTGTGTTCATTTTTGAGACTTGTTATAAACTGGAAATATGCATGTTTTGGGACTTTCTTGCATCTTTCTTCATGCTTCATGATCAAATAATGCATGCTTTTGTATAACTGTAAGTCATTCCATGTGCCTAGTTTCGAATTTCGGGGTTCATTCCATGCATAGGGTGCCATGTTTCCATGTTTCGGAGCTGTTTTGTATCACATTTCAGCGCTGAAATTCGCATGTTTGCATATCATGTTCCATGCCTTGCCATGCTTTGGGTAGAGTGGCATTTGATGCCTTAGGCTTGGTCCTCAGTTTGCGTGCATGTGTGCACGCATTTCGAGTGTCTCATTTTCATCTCATGGCCACTAATGTGAGTGTGACTGAGGTCCACTCATGTTGGTGTAAGTCCATTGTGTATTGTGTATGCCATTTCATTTCATAGCATTGTGTATGCTAGGTTGTATATTAGCGCATTGTGTATGCCATGTTACCTCGTGCATCGTGTATGCCATTTCATAGCATTGTGCATGCTAGGTTGTATATTAGTTGCATTCATGCATGTCAGGCATATTGCATTGTGTTTGGGATAGGAGTTAGCTGAGCATGGAAAACGAGGGACGTTTCGTACTTCGAGTGACGGAACGTGTCTCAATTCCCAGTCACCGACACTCCGGATTATCCATGATGGAGTTTAGGTCTTGTTGTGCTTATATGTGCATTCATTTCATATTGAGTCACGCAATTCGACTCCTCGGCCATCATGCATCGATATGCGTGATTGGTGGCACGAGGATCGAGGACTACACTCCTCGAAGAGTAGTCATGCATACATATGTGAAAATACTTTACCATGCCCCTTTGTTGCTCTCTGTTGCAGCAAATCAGAAATCGGTAGCCTCCCGGAGCTTGACACGCATCCCGAGAACAATTGCAAACATAGGCAAACCGGGGCATCGCGAGGGATTCTCCGCACAAGGCAACCGGAGCATGCATCGTTCATCATCCGGAGCAGATTTGAGGCAGTCCCTGGCTTGCATGCCAATTTATTGCTTTCCTAATTTAATTTGTTAATTAATTAGGGTTTTGTAATTATTTGGACTGTAATTATTTATTCGGGACTGTATTATTTATTCGACCCTCCGAGTGGAGGGCCACAAACTGTAATAAGTGTGCGTGTGTGTGATGTATGTCTTCAAACCCCGACGCTCTTTCTCCCTTTTATCTTACCCGCTATGAATGGTTATATTCTTAGGACATGTTCAAGTTAGCAGATACAGTATAAATAGCAATGTTTGGCATTTCATTCATCTGTTTTGCATGCACCGGGCTCGGCGCATCATACTAACTGCATTGTATTTTCAATTCCAAGCTGAATACATGTTAGCTGTAGCATTTCATATGCCATGTCTTGAATAGCCGAGCCTGCTATAGTTGCATTTTTGCATGTGTTGCATTATGCATTCCGTATAATTAGGATCATGCATGGATTTCTAATTAGCTTCTGTTTTGGCTTGGAGTACTCGGTAAGTTTTATGCTTTAGCATCCTTGCATGCGTGTGAGTGACTGCCATGATAGCATGCTTACCATGAGGCTAATTGCTTATGTGATATAACTGCCTGAATGTCTGCGGGTGAAGTTGGGTTATTTGGATTGGAACAATTCATTCACTGTGAGTTTTAAGCCCATCTAGATAGTGGCAAAATCATGTTTTTCTAAGCCCACCCGAGGGTGGCAATTCCACGTCTTAGCCTACTTGCGGGTAGCACCAAAAACCAATTTTCAAATAAACAACGTGCACGCATTTTGTTCCAATTCAGGCGATCCAGTCTATACTTGTATGCTGTGCGCATCACATAGTAACCTAGGCTAATAACCGGAATAAGAACGCATAATGTTTTCAAAAATAGATATCATGGTTAGTAGAGGCCGATCTTTGATCGGGCGAGCGGGGGTGCTCACGAAGTGACCTTCCCCAATCGTACCCAAGTTCTCGAGCCGAGGCAACTTTGGTGATGACGGACACGTGGCCTTAGGCAAACGAGTCAGGGTTTCCTAAATTTCCCGAAAATAAAACATTTAGGTGGCGACTCTGTATCTGGCAAAGCAGTACATGTTTGACACTTCTTTCAAAATCTGTTTTCTCAAAACAATTTGCCGGATTTGGACTCTTTGGTTCAGATTTAGAACCGTGACAATTTGAGAGTCCTGAACTGTAGTGAGCCCAATATGAACAGAACCGGGGGGGGGGGACTCGCCCTCCCGGGCCGTTCGGGGACGTCTACAGTGGCACTACACTAGTGACATATTTTTAGAAAATGCCACAAAAAAAGATATTTAGTGGCACGTTTTTGAAAAATGCCACAAAACGACAAACATAAAAAGCTCTAGTGACATTTCAATGAACAAGTGTCACAAAACTACAACAAAAACACACTTTAGTAGGACTACACTAGTGGCATATTTTTAGAAAATGCCACAAAAATGATATTTAGTGGCACGTTTTTGAAAAATGCCACAAAATGATAAACATAAAAGGCTCTAGTGATATTTCAATGAACAAGTGTCACAAAACTATAACAAAAACACACTTTAGTGACACTATACTAGTGGCATGTGTTTAGAAAATGCCACAAAAATAATATTTGGTGACACATTTAGATAAATGCCACAAAGCCACAAACATATAAGGCTCTAGCAGCATTTCAATAAAGAAATGTCACGTCAATTTTATGACATTTTATAAAACAGTGACACAAAAAATTATGTTCGTGACATTTACCAACAGATGCCACTAAACTTTAGTAGCAATGGCATTTTTTAAAAAATGTCAGGATACTTGGTAGGTGCAAATTACTTTTTATGACACTTAGGTGAAAATTTTCATAAATAAATATTTTATACCATTTTCAGAAATGCCACTAAGTCAAAAACTTTCCAAGCTTATAATGGCATTTTTGAAAAAACAAAAAATGCAATATATTTTTAAAATTTTTACAATGCAGTAAATGATTAAAAATAAATAAATTAAACTCAATATACACTACAGGAAAAAAAATATTCGGCGAATAAATTTCCTGACCAAAAAAAAGTTTGGTCACTGATTATATGGGTTTTACTGACTAAAAAAATTTTAGTAGCCAAAAGTAAAGCTTTTTGGTGACTAAAAAAATTTTAGTAGCCAAAAGTCTATAATTGGCGACTAAAAAATAAGTTTAGTCGCCAAAAGTGGTTATTTTTAGCGCGGGAGAACTAAAATCCGAAGGCGGGAATTAAATTTTTTGGCAACCAAAATTTTGGTAGCTGAAAGTACATCTTCGGTGACCAAATCCGATTTTGGTTGGCAAAAGTTAAGTTTTTCAGCAACTAAAAAATAATTAGTAGCCAAAAGTATAGAATTGGCGACCAAAAAATATTTTTAGTCACCAAAAGTGGTCTTTTTTTATTTTACTAGTAAATAGTTTATTTTACATAAATTATGTTCAATAAAATAATTATGTTTATAGATATACTTTTATATTAATATAGATGTATGTACCATATAAATAATATATGTTGCATATATAATCATATGGTGCTATAAAGGTGTAGTGGGAAGAGTGTGGTGTATAAGGTTTATGGTGTGGGAGGTTGGCGGTTCGAGTCTCTGCAAGAGCGGATCAAATTGTTCTACAACGAATTATCGTCACGAATGGCACTTGATAGTGTCACGAATAGTGCCTACCATGACATTAAAGTGTCATTGAAAGGTTTTAGTCTTGATGGTGTAATGACACTTATAAGTGTCACTAACTCTTTTTTTAGTGGCGCTTGATAGTGCCACAAATAATATCTACCATGACATTAAAATGTCATTGAAAGTTTTTAGCCATGATGGTGCAGCGACACTTGCAAGTATCTACCGTAGCACTCGTATCTACCGTGGCGCCGATAGAAGTGGCATTTGTTCAAAATGCCACAAGACCAAAAAATGTCATTAGAAGAATAGTTTTGTGGCACTTTCAAATGCCACTAAACTAAGAAAATGTTGCAGTGGGACACTTAGGTAATGAGTCCATTCCTTAATCTTTTGTGTCATTAGGCCTAAACTATAATCTCTTTGTCTAAAATGATACAATTTGTCTAAAAGTACAACTATTTGTTAAAATCAACATATCCTGTCTATTTCTTGAAATCACTCAATTTGTCCATCTGCTGAAATTCACCGAGTCTATTTTTTTATCTATTGAAATTCACACTACAACAAAATTGAATTTTTATAGCTTGCAATGTATACCGTAAAAACTCTTTCACGTCATGCGCACAAATGTCGTTATATGACATGCCGTGGAAAGTTGAGCATCTTTTACGGTATGCAGGTAAAGTTGTAAAAAGTAATAAATTAAGCATCAATGACATACTTTGTATGTCGTATATAACGTTTTACGACATTTTTGTCATGCCATAAATCATCATACTTTCCATGGCATAATTTTGCATGCCGTAGAAAGTTATTTTAATATATTTATAGCATACTTTGTATACCGTACATAAAATTTTACGATATTTTCTTGCATGTCATAAATCATCACACTTTTCACGACATAATTTTGTATGCCGCAGAAGGCCATTTTTAATATATTTATGACGTACTTTGTATGACATATATAATCTTTTATGGCATTTTCTTGCATGTCATAAATCACTATACTTTTCATGACATAATTTTATATGCTGTAGAAGGTTATTTTTAATATATATATATATATATATATAGAGAGAGAGAGAGAGAGAGAGCAAATTCAAAGTTTATTATATGAGTAAACTCAATATATGAACACACGATATCATTAAAATGCCCATTTTAGTACTTGAAAAGCAAATTACAAGATCAAATAGCAAAGTATATGTACAAATGAAAGCAAAAAGATTATATACAATATAAGCAGTCAAGTCTAATTCATTATTAGGAGTGTTAGAGAGAGCTAAAGAATCAATTAACTTTGCCATTACAAAAAGTCTTTGCCCCAATACCAATGGTAGGGATTCGAAGAGCAGATGTTGCAGCAGCAGCAGTAGCAACAGGTGCAAGCACACATTTTAGAACAACAAAAAAGCACCCAGCTTCCTGCAAAGCCAAGGCAAACTCAACAACTTATAGAAGATTAGTATTATAAATGTCCAACACACAAAGATTAGGGTTCCTGCATGTTAACATCAATTGGAGACTTCTTTTCCAAATTATCACTTTGATCTCAACATTCCAAATGGGAATTTAAAAAAAAAATAAAATAATATCTGACAACAACTAGTTGAAGATTAGTATTATAAATGTCTCCAAATCAAGCAAGAAATAATCTGGTCACAATTAATGTATACATGTTTACAACCTACATTGATATCTCATATCATAGGTATATATATCACATCATAGAATGCTAAGATAACAAGCAACAAGGAAAGAAAAGGAAGAAAGGGAACCTGAAGCAACATATAACAATTTGCCATGTCCCATATCTTGAATGGTTTTGAAACCAATTTATACTGCATCCCCACTTCCTAAAGCATTATTTCACCAGTAGTAGAACCAACTGTATAAAAGAGAATCTATGTCAAATAAAGGAAAGAAAAGAAAGAATTCATATATTTATTTAGCAGGAGCTCAACCATTGAAATCATAGGTGGTATGTTCAAATCATTGATCAAAGACCATCCTAGCAAGAAGCAATGTGTGATGAGAAGGATGAAAATCCATGCTGGTGACAGCAGATCCTTGATGCATGGTACAAGCTACTATTCTTGGCAAGTCATCCAAGGACCAAGTGGCATGTTGATGAGATGTCGGATATGCAACCTGGCAAGAGGAGCGCCATTAGTAATGAATTCATTAGTAAGAGAAACTTGTTCAAAAGAATAAGTGAATCACTTAAAAAAAAAATAGTCATCGAGATATGCATAAGCAAAAGTTGACAGCAAGGATCAATTATAGAGGATGAAAGGTCATGAAAGATCATGAAATTTGCCCAATCTGCTTTCTGTCACATTAGGGAAGCATGAGTATAGAATGAAAAAATTGAGTTGAAAGGCCTACCTTTTGTTAGAATTCTCCACTAAATTCTTGACCATAAATTTGAATTCTCTAATTTTTGGAGCAAGGTGAGAACAGCTTGCAAGAAGAGATAAGGGAGCCACTTATACCAGAAGACAAGACTCGAGCTGATGAAGAAGATGGCTATGGTCCCAAAGATGTGAGCCACAAAAGCAGTTCTACAGAGCATGAATGGATGGTTTACCTTAGTACCTTTGTCGCAGTGTGTGGTTCTTATGCATTTGGAACCTGTGTAAGTTCCAATCATTTAATCAAACTTCATTTCATGTTTCACTAAAGCTGAAAGAAACAGTTGAAGACATTACAAACCAAAGCAAAAATTCAGAACAAGTTTCTCAGAAAAGTAGAATTTTTTGGTGGCAATTCTGAGGTGTCATAATTTGTTGGTTTTCAGGCAGGTTATTCATTACCTACTCAGTCGGCCATCACGGACGATCTCAATCTATCACTAGCAGAGGTTTGTTAAACATTAATTTTCCTTCCTATGAAAGAGGTTATCCTGGACATATTTCCATTATTCACAAATCCTATCAGAAAAACCATAAATCACAAAGGCTAATGAAACAATATTCATAGATGAGGATGATAAATGGACATATCTAGTTTCTGTTCATTCAGAATAAGTCAACACAAGGCAAATTCGGCTGCTCAACTCTAAATATTAAGTTAACATTAGTTTAATTTTATAATCAATAACCTCAATAATTGCATATCTAATCTCACAAGATTTCCTTCCAGCACTGGAACTATAATCTACGCATGTATTCAGGTTATCAACGTTCACGCCCTTAGTTTTCTCGAGATCTAGATATCTTTTCTTACAATGAATTGGTTCTAGTGTTCTTCTTTTAGGTACCTATTACTGCTCTAGGTGCAACCTTAATCGACAAAACAGGAAGAAAACCCCTTTTCATTGGTAAATCCTAGTATGAAGTACTATTAGCTTCAAATATGCCATTCTGGTTCCTCCTCAAGTAAGGTCAGATTTTTTTTTTAATCTAGGTTTCTAGATCAGGATTGGTCATAGGTTGTGCACTAACAACTATTTCATTCTATCTAGCGGTAATTTCTAAACAATTAATAGTAAGAGCTTCGCTCATGTTTTTTTTTTTTTTTTTTGGTTTTAATTTTGATCTACAATGATCATTGTGTGGACTAGGTCCACAAAATAGCAATCAATGCATCACCATTACTTGTTGTAACTGGCATACTGGTAATACTATCAACTCTCTAAAACCAAAATTTCCACCAATATCAATTTATTCTATATGATCACTTTTTTTCTTGGTCAGGTATACATAGGAGAATTTTCAGTAGGAATGGGCGTAGTTCCTTGGGTTATAATGTCTGAGGTATGTAAAACTGCAGAATCATCATTTCCATCTATGATTTGATGATTTCATCAAGCTGAGAGTTTCCTCTTATTGTAGATATTCCCTATAAATGTAAAAGACGTAGGGAATTTGGTGTCTGTCACTATAACTCCATGGCATTCAATTGAATTTTTTTGACTTCAGAGAAACAAAATTAAAACAGTAAAACTGCTCCCCTGAATCGAGATGGTGTTGAGTTGGATGCCTGGAGTATACAAATCAATTAGTATTCTAAAAATAAAATAAGCATCATTATAACTCAACTCAGCAAAATTATAATAATTGGGATATCTTTTTTTTTGATCGGCAAAAGAAATCTTTATTGATGAACCACATATAAATTACATATGATAGGCAAAGCATCAATAAAGAGGAGCTTGGAGCTAGAGAAAGCTCCAACCTCCAAGTTGGTGAGAAACCAACAACACAAAACAAAACAAGAGCAACACCTAACTGATAGATAAACAGATGCAATAGCAACAGATAGAGCCTAGTGCAGACCAGAAGCAGAACCACAGCAAACCACTTGCAGCTCCTCACAACCATCATGAACAAAAGGGTGAGTATCCAGCCAAGTTAACCCTGATTTAGTAGTTATCAATCAATAGCAAAAGCAACAGCAAGCAAGAGCAGCCCAGAGCAGATAAACCAGCCTTCCAAACAGCATATAGATCAACACAGAGCACCTGATGTAGTGAGGCACTACTGTTCTCTCCTCAAAGTTGATACAAGACATAGTAAATTTTCCCATAGAGATTACTTATCAAAGATGAATAAATTCTCAAGAGAGATTCACACTAAATTTTTTTTTTTTTTCTTTCAAGAACAACCTGAAGAAAACAACAGGAAAATACAGAAGAACCCTAAGCCAACACAACATTTGACAAATTACAGCTAATTTCAACATGATTTCTCCAGAAAACTTCACTAAAAATTAAACTACTCTGTTCGGTTTCTAAAATTAAGAATCTCAAGGAGTCCATATGTAATCTATTTCCCTAGGGCCTACATTTTCAGAGCAACCAAACAAGGAAAAAGCATCCACATTACACATCAAAATGAATACTACCTTCAATCACATTACTTCCATTGATTAACTCACTCCTCAAACTTCAACAATTCTAAAGAAACAGAAAGAAAAAAAATAATAATAATAATTAAATAAATAAAATTTTTCGAGACATTAATTAGCGGATTTCCTCGAGGCGTAAAAGAAAATTAAAGGAAATCGAAACGAATGAATTGGAATTTGGATCTAGAATGAATAAAGAAAGAAAGAAAGATAAATGCGAGATAAGAATATTGATTGCTTGAGAGAGAGGCTAAAGAGGGATTAAAGAACTGACATTGATTGCTTTTTGAATGCAATCTCTCCTTTAGGCTGATGATGATCACGCAAACCACCAAGCAAGCAACCCACCCACTCAACCCCTCTCTCTCTCTCTCTCTCTCTCTCTAAAACTATCACATTCTCTCTCTTGTGAAGATCATAGCATCACAAATTGAATTTCACGATTTGACAACTATAAATTTATATTCATATTCAAATTCAAATCAAATTAACACATGGATTCAAATTCAAATCTCTCACAACAAATTTATAATTAAATATGAACTTCTAGATCAGAGAGAGAATTTACCGCTTGAAATAGAAGGGGCAAACCCTAGGAGGAGATTCAAGATTGTAAACCCTAGGAGGAGAAGAATCGACGAAATGAAGAGCTTGAGAGAGAGAGAGAGAGAGAGAGAGAATACGAAATTGAGATTGAATCAAAATCGATGACGATGGCTCACCTTAGTAGACGATGCAAATAGCGATGGCGGTGGCGGTGGAGCTTTGAAATCGAGAGAGAGAACTTCGAAATTGAAATCATCGAGCTACATATTGATTTATGAGAAGGGGACAAGGTATTGATTTATGAAAAGGAAGCTGCTCTACGAAATCAAAATCACCGAGCTGAAGTGAAGAGAGTGAGCGAGAGATTTGAGGGAGCCCAGCAGAGATTGTAACACATTTGGAGGCGTTTATATTAGCTAAACGGTACCGTTTTAATTAATACAAAATGCGACACTTATAAAACGTCGTTAAATATTATAAAAAGTTTTAAAAAATGCTGCAGTGATATGTAATTTTTTTCAAAATCCCACTACATGCAATTATCCCTTAAAAGAAGACACTAAATTATAAAATAATGTATAAATTATTTTTTACATTGTCCTCAATTAGGAAAATTTAAAGTGAGAAGCTTGGTTGGAAATTGTTAGCTTTTTTAAATCAAAAAAAAAAATCAGATTGAAATTTTTTTTAATAAAAGTTTTCACTGCATGCTAATGCATGCCGTGTAAAGTTATAATATTTTTACGACATGAAATGTATGTTATCTTAAGTTTAAATATTTTATGACATATATTTGTATGCCGTGAAAATATACGTTTTTTACGACATGCTTTTGCATGCCATAAAAAAATTTTGGATTGAATTTTTTTTTTTTTTTTTTGCAGAAGTTTTCACGACATGTTGATGCATGCCATGTAAAGTTATAATGTTTTATAACATGAAATGTATGTCATCTTAAGTGCAAATATTTTACGACAAATTTTTGTAAGTCGTAAAAACATACATTTTTTACGGCATACTTTTGCATGCTATAAATATATGAATCAACGACTTACATAGTATGTATGCAGTTATTGACAAAACATTTACAGCTTGCAAAAAAAAAAATGCCGTAGAATGTACTAACTACGACATGCATTTAATGCATGTCGTAAACATGATGCTGTGAATAGTTAGTTTTGTTGTAGTGTCATCAAACTACCTATCTGTTAAAATGTAACACATGTCACTCATTTACCACCCCATTTGTTGAATATTACACATTTTTCCACCTCATCACAACCAATTGCTGCTGCTAGTCACGGCCACTGGCAGCCGACGAATTTTTTGGCATATCTTTATTACCAAATAAAATTTTACCTTGAATTTAATGTTTTGTACTTTAAATTGGACTTTTTACAATTTTTTTCTAATTTTCTCAATAGGGTTGGCCCAAGAAATCATTTAATATTAGTATAATTATTATGATTTGACAAATTTAATTTTTTTTATCAACAGACAAAAGAAAAATATTTTATTAGTATCAATAAAACATTACAGAAGAAAGGAGGAAGAAGCATAATAAAGCAGCATACTTCTCCAAAAATGAAAGCTTGTTGGCTGGATGCCAAAACTCAGTACTAGCTCCATGACCAACAACAAAACTCCACCCTTAATGTGTGTTCAAGTACATGTTAAAAAGTTAACCCTTTATAAAAAGGATAAATTACACTCTACTGTAGACACCCCATTTTTGACTATCCTCAAGACCTGGATGTCACCGTTTGAACACTCGGTGATCATCCATGTTCGTGTTCGTCTTGAGTTCTCAGAGGTCTCGGCTACGCGCCTTGCCTCAAGACCTCTCGACTTGCCTGTTTTGTGTTTGGTTTTGCACCAAACACTTGTGTTTTGCTTCTGAGGGGCCAGTGAGTGGCTTTTTGGCCATCCCCACACCTCACCAGCCATGTCTTGAGGCCACCGGCTGTGTTTTGTTGCCATCGGCCAAATGTTTGGCTGATTTGCACTCTGTTTGGTCGGTCGACCATTTATTTGGTCAATTTGTCATTTTTGACTGGCCGATCACTGTGCATCTGCTTTTGGCAGATATTTTTGTGCCAGCTACAGCTGGCACCCACTTTGCACCCCCTCCATATTTCACTCTTGCTTAGCTTGTTTTGTAAGCTTTGTAAGAGTGATCCTCTATAAAGGGAGGTCTCCTCCTCCCTCCTTGAGGGTTACAAAAAAAAGAGTTCCAGAGGTCTGAATTAGGGTTAGGTCTTGTGTATTTATCTATCTCTATATCTCCCTCTCTTTTGCTGTTTGTGCGTGTTCAAAGGTGTTTTGTTCTTAGTTTTGCACTAAGACACCTAGTATCACACCTTACCTTGGTTGCTGAGGAGCCAAAGGCGTGTTCTTGAAGTTCTTGAGTGGATTCAAGCTTGAGGAAGCAGTTGGAGCTCAGTTCTTGAAAGGGGTCTTCAAGGGTAAGAACTTTGCTCTTTGTTCCCCATTTTTGCATAGGCTTTTAGCCATCCTTGCATCTATTTTTAAGCTTAACTTATGACATATAAAAGTTATGATTTTAAGTGCTTAAAATAGTTGTTCAACGTTGTTTTGGTGTTTGGGGTTATTTGACCCCTCTTAGGCCTTATTTGGCCCCCATTTTGTGCTATTTTGGTGAGCTCCGGGACCACCTTGTTTGGGCCTCCTCACCACTGAAATCCCACTAGTGGTGGGGATGGTGCTTTAAGGTCCTAAGAAGGAGAGGGCCATCCCGTCTCCTTGTTGCCTTCAATATTAGCCATTTTAGCCTCATGTGTGAGCACCTTTCTTGAGTTCATGTTGGC